TGTAAAATCACCCATTCGTTCTTGCCTTCATTTGTTTCAGTCTCTTTCAAGGTTTCTTCTTTTTTTTTTCTTCTCTCTAGTTCATTGTGAGCTCCAGCCTAGCTGTACCAGGAGAGAATGTCATTGATCCAGGGCAATAGAGAACACACTTTGGTGTAAACACCTGGGTAGTTAGGCAGAGCACAGCCCTGACCCCAAGAGACAACACCGTGCAGCTCTCCGTTGCACACCAAAGGACCACCAGAGTCACCCTGAGCAGAGAAAAGACAGATGATAAGATTTGTTTTATTTGTGAACTAAACTGTTGACATTCCCTGTTTGCCTAACCATGTCTAGCTTGTGCAATTGTGCTAAAATGCAGAATAAGAATAACGGATGTGATGATAATACCTGTGAATATTATTACTTTATAAAGCATTCACCCCATGAAAAGTAATACAAATGCGTACCCCTTTGAAGAAAGCGCATAACCCAGTAATAGGTTACATTTAAAAACTCTTACAGACAGTTTATAAAAGCTATATCAAAATAGCTTTTATAAATCAAAATAATCTGATTCTTGACTAGAATTGTTAACGGGTAAAGCATAGCATAGAATACAATAGAATAAATAATATAAATATCTCGTAGGTTTGTGTACTCCACCAAAATGCTCTGCTATGTTCTTCTTTTGCAGGTTTGGTAGTATTTGTTTTTGTTTTATGTGGGTGTAGTAATCCTTTGCTTTAAAAGTCAGAAATATGCCGTGATGTTTTCCGAGAGCATCAACATGTAAAGTCAGAAATATGCCGTGATGTTTTCTGAGAGCATCAACATGTTCAATGTTCATATATATATATATATATCCGTATAATATTGTTAATTACTATTGATATAATGAATATAATGTTATTAGGATGTGGATGATTCAGTTAGGACGCAGCTGAAGGCCTAGGTGCTAAGTTCCTGGCACACCACTAAAGGTGTTACTGCATGAACAGCTTAACTCTGTCATTATGTTGCTTTAAAAAAATCTAATTAGAAAATGAAAAGTGAATGACAATTAAACAGAGAACACAATTGGACTCATATAATGTCATCAGAATGTTTTAGATGAGTACTTGGTAAAAGTACCTGACAAGCGTCTTTGCCTCCCTCCAGATATCCAGCACACACCATACGATCAGTTATCTTGCCAGGGTAGGAGCTTTCACAATCCTCGCTTGACAGAATGGGAACATCCACACACTGGAGGTGGAATGGGTTAAACACTGTTCATAGGACCAGAGAAACAAGACAGAGTACATTAACAGGTGAGATCTTAACATGCACACAGTCTCTGATCCAGACTGTAGATGTTTGCTGTCAGTTTTTCTTATGCCATCTGAAATTTAAAAGACAATTCCAGGAGTCCTATTTGAAATACGGATTTATTCCCACGCTCTGCATGATACGCGGTGAGCAGCTAATGAGGCAATGAAGTTTCCAAACTTCTTCGCTACTTGGAGACCATGCGTTAAAATTATTATTATATTTAGAAAATACCAGTTTTTATGCCAGCCATTTTTATAAAAGAAGTCTGTGAAAAAATTTCAGACATTTAACCGGTCCGTGACGCAAAAAAAGTTTGGGGACCGCTGCATTAATGGACGCAGTCTGACACTTATCACCCCTTATTGTACGTGTTCGTACCGTGTTCAGTACCGGTCTGGGGGCCATGTTTTAGGGGCCCAGCCCTAACGGATTTAGATTGAATGACAATGTGGTGTTCCATGTTCAAAAAGAAAAGGTATTTGGAAAGTTAACATGGTCAATTCACAGACAAATGGACTGAACAGTTTGCACGATATGATCTACTCTCCTTCACCCCCACATACTCCATCCCCTCAGTACAGTATGTATGCATACGTAGATGGATAGACAGATCAAAAAATATTACCTTGATCACTATAGATGTTTCCCCAACCAGACACAGTGCACATATCCCCGGCTGTGGGGCAGGACTGTGGCAGAGAGACAGGTTTGACATGCTGGTTCACATTGACCGGGTGTGCCAACTTCATCAGCATGATGTCGTAGTCCAGGGTTTTGTAGTCGTAACTCTGATGCCAGTAGATGGCATCAACAGACATGTACTGCTCGGTTCCCTCATGCGACCAGATGTGGTGGTCACCCAAGATAGCGATCTGGGTGTAGGGACTGGACAGCAAGAAACATTCAGAAGAATTCACATTACAGGCTCTGGTCACTTTAATAAGGCACGTTTTGTATTTTGGTTTTAGCTTGTTAGCATTGAAATGGACATAGAGAACATTGATGAGGATATAAAGTAAAGACATTATTAATATGAAAATACATAAAATATTTAAGTGTATTAAACCTTTAGATGTTTGGCACACATTTTTTGAAATATACCACCTTCTCTTGAAGAATGTTCGCCCCTTGCTGGCATATGTGTAAACGTAAACATCTTTTGTAAGAGACCATGTCACTGAATTATGACAAAATTAAAAAAAAAGAAAATAAATAAAATTAGTGTAACTATTACTTTCTCTGATGAATACATATTGAAAAAAAAAGGTTTGTTTACCCATTATTTATAATTTGATAGCCCACATTGCCAGATTAATTAACAAAAGTAGCAACTTTGTGCCGTAATATGCAACAAGCGTATGACAATCCTGATAAATGAAACATTTTCTCTTTTACAGTATGAGTTTTTGTTTAAAAAAATAAAAAAGTTAATTCTTTGCAACACAATTCAATTTAAACTAAGTTTTTGTTTTGTTTTTTTTTCCACAAACTTTTGCCAGCAATGAGCAGCAGAGATGATCCACTGGTCGTTGATCAAAGAGCCGCCACAGTAATGGTAGCCGATGTTGATGGAAACCTGCCATGGCTGAGAGTGGGCTGCACATTCATAGCCACCCACAATCTTGTCATCTGCAGGGGCTGAAGCTATGAATCAAATATGAATAAAAAAAGAAACAGACAACTCAAATTGTTGACAAATCAACAAGAAATGAAAGCTGACAAGTTACTAGACTGAATATTTGGATTTTTTTTTTGATTTTCTCTATATCCACAAGTACATGAGAATGCATGCAGATTTGTTTTACCTGCAGCGCTTAGAAGACTGAACAAAATCAGGCCAATCATCTTGCAGCGGGTTCAAGCCTGGACTGGACATGAGTGACCTGTTCAGTCCCTGCATTTATACTTTTTCCCTAGTGTCTTTTCGCACACTCCGCCCCATCACCTCAATTGCTACACCCACTGTTTGACTATCTGCAGTTTCTACCTTGAAGGAACACATTCAAGTGACACTTTTCTTTTCTGCCAAAATATATATACAGTAGCTACTATGTAATATATTTAATTAAAACTTGGTTGTTTAAATAGAGCTTTATCTCAATATTGTGCCTTTAATTGCCCTGTTGTTTTTTACTTGTCTATCTTTTTTTTCAATGCCACTAAAGAACCTAGTAGATTGAATGAAATAATTTATAAAGAGAAGCAGAAGAACCCCCTTCCCCCAAAAACGTGATGTGCATTTTGTTTTTCTTCCTCCAAAACAACAGATGAATTTTTTCTCACCTGCCTTTATTTATCTTTGGCCAATGAAAGCTGTGCCACATACAAGACCATGTTGGCATGTTTTTATTATGTAATTTCTGTAATTCCAGGAAAACGTTAGATAACTGCCAATACAATTTAATGTTGTGGCCAACAATTAGTGACCAATAAAAGATATGGTTTAGATGTGGTTCTATTATAACTTTTTTTCCTTTACCTTGGCACCTAGCGACCATGGTTTCTTCCACTCCTCTGTGTCCTTCCCTGTCCTTATCGCCGTGCCACATGTTTAGTTACTTAGCAATGACTAGTATACTTGAAAAGACAAGAAATGCTACATGAAATAAAAGGTCCCAGCGTTGTAGCTACGTATAACCGCTACATTTGTTAGCTGATTCAGTTAGCCATTGTCCCTGTAGCTGTACTAATGAAAAGAGGTCTTGCGATTCCATTTATTAAAATATGGCAACATTAGCAGGCAGAGTAAGTTGCATCCAAGGAGACAAAGTCTGGCAACATTAATGACATTTAAAACAGTTGGCAGTTTATAGAGGTAGCTACTCGAGGGAGTTTCGACAAAGCACTTAACATTGGGCTTTAAATTCAGGCTTGGCCAATAAATAGAATCACTTACCATTAGCATTTGACTGATGTATGTATATATATATATATATGTATGTATAAATTCCCTAATTAATCTAATGAATCTTATTATTTTTAATGAAACAACTGCATTTTTTTTACCATTTTTGAGAAAACAATAATGTTTTGATAATAACATACAGTAAATGTAGTATTATTATTATATAATATGTAATTGTGTTTACATTGTATTTTTTAAAGTCTAAGTTGAATTTTGTTTTTTCATTCTACATTTTTTTTCTCACTACGTAAAATATTATTGTTACTTGTTACGTGTTTAAAAATGTGTTAATCAATTCTCGCTTTATAACTTTCAGCCTCGTTGTATAGTAAAAAAAACTTCTCGCTTTATAACTTTCAGCCTCGTTTTATAGTAAAAAAAACAAAATCCTGTACTTTTCTGCGTAGTTGTACAGCTGTTAATCCTCAGGTAAATAAACTGGAAAAGAGGAGCTCGATAAGAAGATATATTTGGTGCCAGCAGGTTAGAACAGGGTTTGGACACAGATGGAATCAACAGAAACAAGTAGGCTAGTGGTGCTGGGTACGTGTGTGTGTGTGTGTGTGTGTGGAAGTGGGAGTCAGTCTGCTGGGACTTCTTGGATATAAATATGAGCTAGACTGCGTGCAGGTGCCTTCTGATCATACATCGCACACCATGAGACTGCTGGCTCTGCTGCTGATGATTGGGGCTGCTGGTAAAGTTGCCCAAATAAACATATTAACACTTACACATATGCAATGACAAACGTGTGTGTGTGTTGTGTGTTTGTGTCTGTGTGTGTTTGTGTGAGACAGTGGCAGTTCCCCGTGAGGATGGACGGATCATTGGTGGAGAGGAGTGCGAGCCTCACTCTCGTCCATACATGGCCTCCCTGAACTACGGCTACCACTTCTGTGGTGGGGTACTTATCAACAAGCAGTGGGTGCTCTCTGTTGCCCACTGCTGGTATAAGTAAGTGTTCTCGTTTATTCTTATACCATTGCTTCATTCCTTATTTTGCTAATTTTTTTCCACGTTGTGGCGTCATGATAATATTTGCATATCATGTACAAAATGTAATTGAAATTCAATAAGAGTTATTTCTGTTGACATTTATTGCTTTCATATAAGATTGTCATATCTAAAATTATTAGCATTAGAAGCTTAATTAAATAATAACAACATTTTCCCCTTCATTGCTTTTATACTCCCACTCTTCTCTCAGCCCCTATGCAATGCAGGTTGTTCTAGGAGATCACGACTTGAGAGTTTTTGAAGGTACAGAGCAGATCCTCAAGACCGACACCATCATCTGGCACCCTGAGTGAGTGAAAATAAACGCCTCTAAAAAGAATGCTTTTCACAATGAAGGGTTTTGTCCCTTTTTTTGTTGTATATTTAAAAGTATATTTATCTGTTTGCAGTTATGACTATCAGACCCTTGATTATGACATCATGTTGATCAAGCTCTTCGAGCCTGTGGAAGTGAATGATGCAGTCAAACCCATTCCGTTGCCCACAGGGTGCCCAATGGGAGGGCTTCCCTGCTCTGTGTCTGGCTGGGGAAATACTGCCACGGGTGAAGAGGGTCAGTTTTATTCATATATCGTGTCAAAATTATACATGACGTATAACAACCAGAATTAAAAAGTACAGTGGAACCTCGAGATACAAGGATAATCCGTTCCAGGACCGAGCTCGTAACTCGAGGTGCTTGTATCTCAAATCATTTTTTCCCCCATAAGAAAGTTCTTACCTTCAAGACAGACGATACAGTAGCGGCTAATGGAGGAGGGAAGAGAGTTGGGCCGTAGGTAGACACTTGATTCCGTAGCGTACCTTACATGTACACTACGTAACTTACATAAACTTAGAATTAACTTAATTTAGCTTCCTTTTTTTTTTTTTCCGATTAGTATTCTTTCCTTAGCAGGCAACAGGCTCATATTTATCGACCATTTCATGCTTTATTTCCATGGTCATCGTGCGTTTCTTCTTCTCACTACCATCCTTACCACTCACTCTCTTAGGACTCATCACTATTATGAAGAATAATGCACAAAATAGAGAACATCACGTAGATAATGCAAACACAATATGGAAGACTGGCGGGAGATGCGTACAGAGGTTGGCGAACACGGGAGGTGAACGAGTGAGGCGGGGTGAGGCGAGTGCTCGGCCACCTAGCGTCGGCGTCTGTAAGCGTGCTCGTATCTCAAATCTTTACTTGTATCTCGAAGCAAAAATTTCTCAAGTTTCCACTGTATTTATATATTTATATATATGTGTATATTTATATATGTATATGTATATGTGTATATTTATATATGTATATGTATATGTGTATATGTATATGTATGTATATATGTATATTTATATATATGTATATATGTATGTATATATATGTGTGTGTATATATATGTGTCTATGTATATACAGTATATATATGTATGCATGTTTGCGGCTGTATTTCTCGACATTGTTCTTCGCATTATCCATTAGTGAAGTTTATGTGTATAGACGAGGTTTACATAGAACTTAAACAATTTATAGAGAGAACTTACAGAGGAATTGGTTCATGGCCCTACGAATCACATTGTTTTTGTCTGTTAGTTATTTACTAGTTATTCTTTTACTATTTTCCATTGCGACATTTCATGTTCAGGAAAATGGAAATCTATCTAACTTAAGCTGATCTTTACACACCTCAGTAGATGAAGAAAAATATCAGATGGATCTATTTCTGGATTTTGTCGATTTAAGGCCTCATGCTGTCGACCTTTGTGATTACAGTGAACATGCCCAGACATCTGCAGTGTCTGGATGTGCCCATAGTGGATGATGAAGCGTGCGAGGCCGCCTACCCTGGTATGATCACACGGAGGATGGTGTGTGCTGGATACATGGATGGTGGCAGAGATGCATGCAACGTGAGTTTTTAAAATATTTCCACTAGGGGGGTAAAGAACCCAAAGGTCCAGACAAGCAGTACTTTTTTTTTTGACTACCTACATTCTCTACTAGGGTGACTCTGGTAGCCCTTTAATTTGCCTTGGAGAAGTCTATGGTCTGGTGTCATGGGGTCAGGGATGTGCTCAACCCAACTACCCCGGAGTCTATGTTCGTGTGTGTGAGTTCCTTTACTGGATTAGAGATGTCCAGGCCGAATACTCATAAAAGAAGAACGCTCACTTCTTGCATTGTCTTCCCTGTTTGACCACTCGTCTCTTTCACATCCTTTAACTCTTCCCTGCTCTAGTTCGTTTCTTTCTCCCCGTAGCACGCTCACTGACACATGCCCACTTTCAACACACAAGCCATAACAAAGTAAACTCAATAAAGCCATGTGGTTTGTATTCACTTTTTTTTTTATTGTTGCTCCTCATAATTTTGTGATGTTTTATGTTTTTAATAGTAGAAACATTTTTTTTAGCTCATATTTACTCAATATCTTGTCAGTTCCCGGGATCCTTATTCCTCCGTGAGTAACAATACCGTGTGGTTTTAAGACATGACTTTAATCCGTTCCATTACAGCACTTGTGTGTCGAATCCGCTCGTATCTTGATTGCGTTTTCCCCCATTAAAAAATAACTACAAACCAATTAATTCCTTCCAGCCCCCTCAGAAATATACTATTGATTAATTTAAATAAAAATCCCCCCTCGTTCTAAACATCAAAAACATAGATATAAACAAATATATTAATAATATAAAATAATAATAATTAAGAAAACCTTTTATATCATTGTTATAAAAATGTAAACGAGGAAGGTCTGGGGTCAGTTAAGGCTGTGATTTTGGTTGATTATCAAACAGGAACGAAAAACGATCACAGAGATATAAAATGAAGTAAATAATATTTTTTAAAATTTTTTTTAAGGAAAGCAACTTCTAGCTACAATGGGCTAATGTTTAGTGCAAGATCACAGTATTAAAACGGAACATTTGATTTCAAGTAGAAGAGTAAAACACAGCAATTTACTTTTTTCAGAAGAAAAAAAAAACAAACAAACCCCGTTATAGGACGCTTTACTGCCTTTGTCAACATTGAGAGGCTTTAGAACGAACTAATCCTGGATTCTGGAATCAAGAGGAAAAATTTAAATAGGGTCAACGCTGTAAGGTTTATATATAATAACTGACAACAAAATTAAATTTGTGCCGCGTTCATCGCTATACTTTAAATTGTTTACAGTAAATATGAAGGGTGTTCTGTCCATTTCTATAAAAGCAATGTTCTTTGTAGGACAAATCTGTTCCTGTGTATATGTTTGTGTTGGTGTCAGTGTCATTGAAAGAGGAATGCTGATGAGATACGAAGCATCACCAGAGTGATGCTGTTGGATGAACAGTGAAATAGGATGCTCTTTTGGGTTCTTGTAACTGTAAATCTGGCTCCAGAGGAGTCAGTGCCTCAGCAGCCGTGAACCTCACCGCGCGTCACTGCAGCTGATCATGCGCAGCACTTTCTTCAGGCCTCTGTCCTTTTGATTTGTTCAGACGACGGGTCATTTTGAAAGGGCAGTATTTGTCCTTCTTAATGAAAATCATCTCTCTCTTTATATCGTCTTCTTCCTTTGCCTGAATGCAAAGGTCTGCGGTATGATTCAGCACCTGCGAGCATAAAAAAATAATGTATTCCTCAAATGTAGAAATTATATAAGTACATTATATTTTAAGACTACAAAGTTAACCTAAATAAACATTCTATTTTAAAAAAACATCAAGTTATAAAAACAATTAGGAAAGTAATTAATAATGCAAAAATGTAATCAAATAAATATTAATTTAAAGGATATAAAGATGGAAAAAAAATTATCGGATATCCTAAATTATACGAGGTACTGATAAAAACACATTTAAGCCAGGGATGTCTACACTTTTAAATACCTTTCAAATGACCAGGCTAAAGTGATCTACCTACACTGGTAATTTTAGAGTAAATCTGGCTCATATAAACTACCTTTCAAATACCTGATATGATAAGGTTTTTTTTTTTTTTGTAAATGCATATAGCTGTAGCTACAGATTTCATGTAAAAAAAAAAATCTTTTTTTATGATCTACCAGCAATCTTTTTGCGGTCTACCAAATATAACGGTTAAAAATGTCATTATAACAATCACAAATAGCACTCAATATATTGAACCTGTAAGTTTGATTAAAACATATTTTATGTAACATATCAGTGAAACTGTTTTTTTCTATGGCATATAAATCAGATTTATATCGATAGAACAGTTTCTGTCCAATAATTTCTTCAAAAATCCGATACCTTTTCTCCTAACTTCTTGACCATATGCACACAAGGTCACTTACCGTCAGCACTGTGTGGAGTTAAATAAGGCGCCGTATCTTCCATCAGGCGTTCAGTGCTGTTTAAAAGAAAGCAACACAGTTTCGGCTATGTTTGGCGTGTTTATGAAAATCAGCAGAAAAATCAGTCGCAAAAATGCACTTAAATACAGTTAAGTTACCTCTGGGGTGAGTCCATGTCCTGCCTACTGTCCTGTGTGTCCTTTTCCTGCTCACTGTGAGATTCATTAAAGAGAAGGTAGCAGTATATGTTATGTAATATAATAACCAAAGCTTGTAGAGGTTCTTGGTCAGATCATAGCATCCGCAGCGGTGCTACTCTATTCAGGTACTTTTATCAAGTAACTGTCTCTCAGTACAGTTACAGTACTAAAAGTAATAATATAAAATCAATATGCAGAAAAATTAATAAAATACTGATTTGTTTTTTTTCTAAAATGTATTTACATATGTAGGCAGATCTCACCAATTCCAGTTTGCCATTTTCTGCCTTCTCGGTTTTTTGCTAACAGCACGGGTCTGTTCAAAGAGAAAAATGGTTTCACTTTTATTTCCACTCACGCTACGCCGCTGACTGCAGTGGTCATTGGTTTGTGTTCAGAGCTACTGCATACATGTTGCGAGTGAAGAGTTTTCTTTCTATGTTTTTTTTTTTTTTTTTTTCCATCAAGCAACTGAAGCTTCAACCTCACACTGGTTACCTGTGAAACTTACTGTTTTTGTGGTCTGCACTTTGTGAGTGGGATCGTACAGCAGCGGGTCTGTGTCGTTGTAAAGGCGGGAACTCGGCGATGGTCTCTCCAAACTCGAGAGCTGCGTTGGTGTAAAGCGGACAAAGAAGAGAAGGCGGTTTACAGATATAGTCTACAAACAAGTTTCAAATCACATCAGAATGTGGACAAAAACAACACAAAAGGCAGTTTCGCCTTGTCGATACATCTCTTTATCTGACTCTTTCAATCTGTTTTTGTGGTGGACGTTCTACTCGGCCTTACCCACATAACATGCCGTGACCTGTCTCTATGCTGCGAACATCATTTATAACGAAGTGAAGGCGTTCCCGCTTATTCATCATGAATGTATACCACGTACAGTTCTAATTCATTCTGCACACATTTTGAAAAATATTAAATCTAAATATGACTAAGAAATGATTGATAAGTAGTGCAGTGATTAAAAAACAGTTCTTTAAAACCAGTAAAACTACAGCCATTTTGGCCTCCCAACCCCTCAATCGAACCTCAAAAACTCTTTCTCCGTGCCTCTTCATTTACCCATAAGTCGGTTCACCTCAACACCCATGCAGAATCAGCCAGTTCTAGAAAAAAGGAAATGGCAACAGCAACCTAGGCACAACAATCATTTCTTAACCATTGCTATTATGTGTGTTGGTTACTAATATTGTCTGTTTATGATTCATACTCACAGCTGAGCACTGTCTAAATGATCAATACCTACTACCTACTAAAAACCCCACATAAACATAAATGTTTATGTTTAAAGAATCAGCTTGAAGTTGCCGTAATCAGGCAAATGCAAAACAGTCCCACAGTACTCCACGGAAACTGCACTGGAAGCTATTGTTCAGTTAGTGTTAATTAATACTGCAGTTTTACTTTTGTTTGAGGTTGAGGCAAAGACCATGTTCATTACATTAATAATTAAGCAGTGTGTAGGCGCTCATTTTAATAGAGAAGCTAACAGATAAGCTACTGTGCAAGAAGATTAGATCAACACTCATCGCACATTAGTTTCTGGTAGGGAACCAGGAATAATTATTTTTAATAGTAAAAAAAAAAATGTAAAGAAAAGTCCATTTTTAGAATGAACGTTCTTACTTTTATTCACTATTTGCATAAGAATTAGCATTAGCATTAGACAATTTTCAACTCTTGCTCTGCTGCTTTGTGTCCATTTTGCAAAAGTTAGCTACACGCTTAGCTCGAGCAGGTCTACACGGATCATGACATTGTCATGCCGCAGTTGCAGATGTCATATGAGGTGCGTTTGGATCACACTTGAAAAAAAAAAAAAAACCACTGCTAAAAATCATTCAATTTTTACCTCACATTAAAGTTGAACGTTTTGGTGATAAACACACGACAACACAAAAGAAAAACGATGAGATAGATAAGTGTAATTCACAAACCTTTAAAGCAGCAATTTTCTTCACAATGACTTCAATGTCCTCGTGGTCATCCTCGGGGTCATCGACACTCTCCTCGTTATCGTCACCTTGCCGGTAGGATTCGATGGCGATTGAATGTGTGCTTCTAATTTTGCAGCGGCAGTAGGGACATGTGTTGCGAGCTGACCTCTGATGTGGAAGAAGGATGGATGGATGGATGGATGGATGGATGGATGGATAGATAGATAGATAAAGTATGAAATACATAACATCTGAGTTAATGTAAGGTACTTTGTCATGCAAAAAAATCATCTGTCACATGCAGAAGTCATCTGAGTTAATGTAAGGTACTTTGTCTATTTCTGTCATGCACATGCAAAAAAATCATCTGCCACATGCAGAAGTAAAAAAAACCAGAAAAAAAGAAAAAAAAAGGAAACGCATTGAACCACTATATATAAAAAAAAAAACTAAGTAAATACCAAATAAACTGAAGACTTTGCAGGCTGTATAGGCTGCCAGGTCATTTAATTTGTACAGCTATAATTACATCTTTATGTAAATGTATCAAATATCACTGGTCTTTGTTGTTGTTCTAAATTTCTAGGTTCCATTATTTCTCTTGTTGAGACTAACAAAATCTTCCTAAAATGCAAAAAAAAAAAAAAAAAATAGAGACCTGCAAAAACTCAAAACCTTCTTATTCTTTGAGCCAGTGACATATTCAGTTATTTTCAACAAAACAAAACAGCCTTTGAATGTCTCTTCTTTATGATGTTGGCCCACTGTCACATCTACGGTTTATATGCTTTGCTTTGTAGTACATGCCTATTGTACTGCAGCAATGTTATGTGTCGTTTCCTGTTCAGTGGTGTTGACTTGGCTATTTATAACTACGCTAGCTGCGTGTTATTCATTGGCTGTTCTGTAGACTCAAAAGTATAATGACAGGCTGGGTAATTTGAGGGTTAACCGTAGTTAAGAGGGAAGAGCAGAGAGAGCGGGGTAAATGTTTTCACACCTCTTCCCCCCGTCCTTCCTAACCACAACCCCACCAATTGAAATACTATTGAGAACCTGATAACATGTATATTTTTATCTGTACAATCCAATGTATGAGTTGCTGCCACCTAGTGACTGGAGGCTTGTTAGCATTCAAGCATTACAGCAGTGGTACACTCATGTCCAGCGTGCCGTATTCTATTAGAAGCCCCGCATGCCCCCCCCCCCCCCCCCCCCCCCCCCCGTTCCCCCCCCCCCCCCCCTCAGGGGGGCCCGCCCCACTATTTGCTGCACTACACAGACTCAACTGATCCACTTGATATTTTTACCCTTTAGCTGCTATTTCGCTGGGAACACATTTGTTTTTTATCAGTCGTCAACTGCTCAAAGTCTGTTCTTGCTAACTTCCTTGCTAACTAACTAGCTTCCTTGCGCACAAACTGTGTCCAGTAGTGTTGAGCTCAGCCGTGCGTTCTAGTGCAGGCGTAGCACATATCACATACCAAAGGGAATGAATGTATTCGTACCTGCCAGCCTGCGAGGCAGATGGAGCACAGGAGATGACCGCACGGTTTAAGGCAAATGTCCTTGTCCCTCTCTAGGCAGATCTTACAAAGCTGGAAGGTGCTGCCAATGTCACAGTAAAGCTCATACTGCTCCTGTTTGGAGATAAATGACACGGGGGTGAAATCATTTTAGCGTACGAAATTTGAACAAAAAAAGTATTTTGGGGGAATTACCTTGAAACATATTGAAAACGGAAGACTAAGTGTTGAAAGGTTTTAAGTTTAGAAATGAATACTGTTTAACTCTACTAAGTCTAGTGTAGGCCTCTAGACCACACTTTTTGACTCGTGGGCCACAACTGTCCTAAAAATTGAACAGCGGGGCCGGGTCAGGAGCAGATAGATGGAGCGTTGGTATAAACTAAGATATGACATGACATAATGACATGTAAAAATCATGTATAAAGGCTAAAATGTTATACACTTGTATTATTTTTCTATGCCATCTATTGGGGAAACCTGGGTATTGCAGGGAAAAGGCAAAAATATAATGCTAAATAAATTATTTGGAAAAGTTTGCTGGGCCGGATTAAAAAGCTGAACGGACCGAATCCGGCCCCCGGGCCTTAGTTTGCCCATGCCTGTTGTAATCTATTTTTTATTTTCATTAATTGTCCTTTCTTCTTCTTCTACTATTGATGAGGTTTCTACACTTACTTCTGTAACTTTGACGACCTCTGTTGATCCCTGTAAGCTGCTCAGGTCAGGGTTCGAGTCATGACCGTTGGGGTACACATAGCTGCAGACAAGGAAACTGAGATTAGCAGCAGTGGAAATACGGGAGGGAATGAGGGATTAGAAGACGGTGAGTATGTTGGACTCTGTGTGTGTGCGTGTCTTGTTCTCACCGGCCTTCTTTGGACCCTTTAATGAGAGCCTGGTAGAGAGGTGTATCCTCAGGAATGGTCTGAATGATGCTGTTGTCTGTGGTCACATGACCAATAGCCCAACGACCCATTCTTGTGGAGCTGAGACGGAAGATGTAATTACAAAAAAAAAAAAAAAAAAAAATCCAGATCATCGTACTTGATCATAGGTCAGGTTAGGGGTCACCAACCTTTTTGGAACTGAGGGGACCACATTGGTGACCCCTGGGTCAGGGAATGGTCGCGGAAATATAAATTGGTTTATTGATGCTTTTTGTAATGAACTGGTGACTCTTTTTTTTTTTTTTTACTCTTTACAGGTCTCTGTTGTCAGAAGATCCTCTTTTTCGTATCCTTGAGCTACTCATCAGGTAATTTGGTTTAAAAACAATCAATACTTAATCTGAAAAGAAATAAATTGTGTATTTATTGATGGCGATTATGTAAAATTAAATGTATTCATCTATGCAAATATGACAGAAATGTTAAAGATATTCAAGAGTTATCATTAGAAAAAAAATGTTAACCTTATTATGCTAAGGTTAACATTTTTTTTTTTTACAAAATAATTAACAATGCTTTAAACATGTGTTATCTCAAAAGCACAATCATTTTGTGCTATTCAAAAAGAACTTTACAAAGGTACATTTTCCTCCACTTTAATATTTAAGGCACCCGTATGAAAAATGAACAGAGATCAGTGACATTTACAATGTTATGCAAAAATTCTTGAAATTTTTTTTTTTTCAGTGTCGAAGATGACCTTCTTGTTCCCCTACCTTCCCGGCCTGTGCAGATAGCGTGTCAGCCGAGCCTCGACCTGGTCAAAGGTGAGAAAAGCCATGTAGCCTGGATGGGTTACTGCTAAATGGTTCCAGTTTTTCAACAGGGACCCCCAGGGCTAAAGAGAATAGCGAAAGAAATGAAAGGAGAAAAGACAAATTGACAATGTTGTGAGGGAAGGATGGCACCCGAGAGCCACAGTAATGAGGTCGCAGTATTGGTCCGGAGCTGAGCGGAAAGTCGAAGCTCTCGATTTACCCGTCAATGTATGTTCCTATCCTCACCTATGGTTTCTCTAACCCGCATCTGTCTATGACTCACATTTGATACATGTCAAGACGCTTGCCTCAGTCACATGTCTTACCTTCATCTGCTACCTTCTTAAAAGGTAGCAGATGTAGAGGCCTCCAGCCGGTAACACATAATACATTACCGCTAAATTGAAACCCCCCCAACCCCAAGCTAGCAAACTGAACAAAAAACAAACGTCTTTGGAAACTTTCTTTGTGCAGGGTTAAAGAGCCTACGTCTTCAAAGAAAAAGAAAGCTGCATTTAACAGACCAGGAGTGCTACTTGAAATATAGATTTATTGCGACAGGTTGTTCCCAAGCACCTAGCCCGCGCTGCATAATACGCGGCGAACGGCTCTTTAATGAAGCAATGAATCTTTCAGAACTGCTTCGCCACTTGGGGACTAAACATTCTGCATTAGAAGCGTATGAATCTTTCAGAACTGCTTCGCCACTTAGAGACTAAACATTCTGCATTAGAAGCGCGACGTTACGAGGACACCGCTAATAACGTTGCATACACAGTGGCTTAACGTTTATTTTTATATTTATAAAATACCGTTTGTTTTTTTGTCGGTCGTATCATTTTATTTACTTGCGTTTGTCCGCCAAAGAGTTTCAGATATTTAACCATTTCGTGCGAAAAAAATGTTCGGGCCCGCCGCTTTAGACCACCCTGAAGTATCTGATACATACGTTACACGTCTGATTGCGCTGATAGTACAGTAGTTGCTCTTCCACTCACTCGAAACAGCCTGGTGAAGACGTCAAACTCAAACACAGATATGTGGTTGTTACACGTGAGGTCGACGGTCGATTTGAGAGCCATGGACTCCATCCCTTCCTGGAACGCATGAACGCTCCGTAGCTGTTCCGTGAAGTTTTTCCACGGAACTATACATCTGTCAGACCGTGGAAAGAAAAAAAAAAAAAAAAAGCCCCACTTTGAAACACAAAATATCCTCACTTTGGTAACACCTCCACGCTAATACCCACTTGTTGCCAAACGACTTCCTCCAAAACTTCCCAGCACCTGGTGATGCCAGTGTGTAGGTGTCGCCGTGGAAAGTTCCATCTGGAAACATGGCCTTCATCTCCCACAGCATGTGACTGAACAGCAGTGACAGTTTGGTCAAGTTCTTCCTGTGGAACATAAAAAAAAGCGATTGCTCGTTAGTCGTGGTTTGTCAAATAGAAACAAGTGTAATTAAGGGGAAACTCAAATTCACAGTGGGACGAGGTTGCGGACCAAACTTAATTTTTATTGAAAAATTGACTTTAATTCTGCATGTTTTGAAATAAGACAATTTTTATTGAAAAATTGACTTTAATTATGCATGTTTTGAAATAAGACACACATATGGCGGTATTTATTACGTCTCTTTATCTGTAGCCTTTCAAGTTCCCTTTTAATGTAAAGTCACCGGCAACGGAAAAAAAAACAAAATGTATGCGCTATAACGTAGCGCATACACCGCTAACACTACAAATACTGCCAGTATATAGGGTCATAGTATACAGTATATACTGGGGGGGGGGCAACTCTAGTACACATTTGATATGATTTCGCGGGCCAAAAATAATTACACTGCGTGCCAGATATGGCCCCCGGGCCTGAGTTTGACTCGTGTTCCTTACGCATCTACATCTACTTATTTCTAAAGTCGACGTGCAGTTGTGGGGTCAACACAGACCCCGGAGCTACAGAGCTTTTGTTCATGTTAACTAACATTGTTTTGGTGACATTTTCGTTGCTTTCCCTTCTTTCAAACACTTCTCCCTTTGAAACGAGTTATCTTTCACTTCTTCTGTACAGTTTGCAGGCCAGCTTTGGTCTGCTGTAGAAACTGAGAAAACAAACTCCTGTACATTTGATGTCTCATTGTACTGATACTTTATAAAGGGATACAATACTTTCCAGTCACACACACACACACACACACTCACACACTCACATACACAACAGGTGGTCCAGCTCACAAACAGGATGCTGTATGTTGGTGAACACCACAAAATGTTCCAATAGCCAGTATGACACCATAGACCAGGGTTAACTCCTTTTGACATTTTCTCATCTATCTATCTATCTATCTTTTTCCATCGTTTACTTCATAAGTTCATTTCAATGCAATTCTACCAGTAACACTATAAATTTTTTAAAAATCTTCATTAAAAAAAAATTACGATTTGATTAAATATGCTTGTGTTATGTGATTATAAGAAATATATAATATAATATATAAAATATATAAATATATGCCAATGCATTCATATCCAGAAGTCCAGTTAATATCAATTTAACAAAAATATAATTCTAATGATTAAATGTAATAGTTTAACGTAAGAAGTAATATTTTATATAGTCTACATACATTTTGGCTATCAATATGAAATATATTTATTAATATAAACTGAACATATTACACGATGATGATCAAATAATTGGAGTTTTATGGCACAATACGATTTGATTGTTAAAGTATATGGTCACTACTACACACTATTGAATTGTATTTATATTTGAATTGTTCAGGATCTACCAGCACTCCCTTTATGATCTACCCCTTGACCCCTTCTTATCGGGCACCCCTTGTCTACACTATCACTCACAGTGTCCAATATCATCATTTAGAATTCCATGTACACGCTACGATGGTGCTTTAAAGTACTGGAGTAGTAGAGCGCAGCTCTGGTCGCAGTACATTTAGATTAGGTTTGTCTTAAGACCTCCATATTAGGTCATTACCGATGCGTGCGTGCGTGCGTGTCAGTCAGTAATGTACCATGTGTTCATTTTTCCACTGTCTCTGTCACTGTGCCTCTTGACCCGAGAACTCACTTCTGCTTTGAAGCGCTGGGAAAATGTTTCTTTTTTTGTTAAAGGACATTGATGTTAATGTGGTCTTCTGTTTTGACTCTAGGAGAATATTTTACACAGAATGATGTGACATGCAACCCACAGCCACTTTAAACTCTTTTCACTTGGTCACCCATGCAGACACGGTTCTGCTGAAAAAAGGATTGCGTCGGTAATGCAAATGAGTTTGTAAGAATATCAAAAAGTATGCGACGAGACCTTTGTGTGCTTTCAAGTGTGGTTTTCAGTGCTTGGCAAAATACATCCGACAGAAGTTGATTTCACGTATTTAGAAAAATATATACGTTAATATATAGTCGTTATCGTTAGCACAGAAGTCGATACCTTTGAAAGGTCTTGAGGAATTAGACTTGAAATATGAATTTATAGCTGATGATCAAGAATGTTCCAAAAATGTTTTTGTTAACTGAATTGGTTTAACTATAAGCTTTCAATATCCACATTTCAACAAAACATAAACATACACACACGAACAATATATAAATATACAACAATATATCACACGAACAATATATAAATATACAACATGTGTGTATATACATATATATAAATGTGACATTTAATAATATTAATTTTATATTATTTCTAGAAAATCATTTAATTAGAATTACTGGCTGTAGTTATGAAACGGGACCGTCATTACGTAGGTTTTCTCTCTGATCAATTAATATGAATCAATATATAATTAGTGAAAGACTGATTATTAGACATATTTAGTGTATTTTTATGGTATATTTAATTCTGAGGCTCTTCTAACACTCTAAACTCGTTCTTAAACATGTGACGACTTAGTGACCTGATAACATCTTTTTCACCGCAATTAACTGATCGACCAGTGTTCTGTTGTGTTTATTTAAGAAATGTCAGCAGTTCGGAGGTAATTCATACTATTGCTTCATTACTTTATTTGTTGAAACATGGAAATAAAAGTTAAGGGATACTTTTGTTTACTGGCAGGAGACAGTCGTCCTACTGCTGAAAGCTCTATTCGCTTTCTATTCAGTTGACTGTGTTAACTATACAGATAATTAATTGTATTTACTGTCATTTCCGGACTATTAGCCGCTACTTTTTTCGCACTCTTTAAACCCTGCGGCTTAAACAGTGATGCGGCTAATTTATGAATTTTTACAGGCTAACTAAGTTCATACCGCTAGCATTGAGTTTTCTGGTAGCCTGCTGTATGTTACTTTTTTTTTTTCCCCCCCCGCCAGCCGCTAGAGGGCGCTCTAGGATCGCGTACCAGTAGCTACTACTCCTGTCGCATATTTTTTTTTTTCATCCTTTGGAGCGGCTGTGAGCGGATATGTGCGTGGGGCGCACGAAAGTTGAGAGCAGTTTGACCTCTGTCATGTTGAAGCATGAGTTGGTTATACAGGAGCTGTTAAAAGTTCCAGAAACTTCCCTGTTTCTGTTTACCTCTGCTGCAGACAAGCACAAAATGAAGGGAGTTAGCCCCGGAGCTAATGTTAGCTCTAGCCCTGGAGCAAATCACTAAGTCCCCCCTGCGCATTCCAACTACGGAAGCAGGTAAAAGCTAACGTATAACCAGCCGTGTTACAGGCACTGTTCGGGAAAAAAAGCATTTATTTAATTAAAAGTAAAAGGATTTTTTACACTTTCTGTGTAAATATCCCAAGTGACAACGTGCTTATAGAGAGGTGCGGCCTTTATATGTAAATTTTTTTTTTTTCTTTTTAAATTTAGTGGGTGCTGTCTATATTCAGGTGTGCTCAATAGTCCGTTACTTAATGATCAATACTTCTTAAAATTATTTTTATTCTTTGTTTATTCCTATAGTGTCCAATAGATAGATAGATATATGTACTTTATTGATCCCAGGCTGGGACATTGCATTTTTTTTAGATATGTGATGGCAGCATCAGTTTGAAGACTTTTTTTTTGTAATAAATACAGAGAAATCTGTTTATGTTTGGATTGAAATACCCTTTTGTTAAAAGAGAGAAAAGACAGTTGTTTTTTTAATATTCTGCTCGGTGTTCTCACTCACCAAATATTGTTGTTGTATTTTGTTGTTTGTTGTCTTGTTGCGGTAATTTGTAGATTCTTTTTGTACTGTCGTTGTTCGACCCAAACCTTATTTCTCACCGAGCTGTGACACTTGTACCAACGCCACCTTTCAGTTCATTCCATATTTATCAAAATCTTGATCTAAAGAAGAATCCATGTGGTCCTTGGTGTCAGCTGGCACACACACACAGCGGTTGTTAAAACATGGTATTGCTACATTAGTTGATTCAACCGATTGGTCTAATTATATTTCTATTTCTGTTCATATCAATTCTTATAGAATAATAATATAAAAGGTGTTTCCAATCAACGGCGGAGTATTATGGCCACATTGGCAACTAAAGAAAATTGTGTAGTGTCAAAATATGGCGCGAAAAAGGTTGTAACGTTACGTAACTTCCCAATAAAAAGGTCGTAATTTTACGGGAAAACAGTCGTCAGTTCATGAGAATAAACTGTTTAAACCACTTCAAACCATATGTTTGGTGAATAACAAAACTTTGTAATACACATACACAACTTTCGATCACAAACTTTACTCTGGTCCGCTTAGTTCTTTCTTCATTAAAGACAACCATTCACGTGTCCTGATGGTTATTATGACTCATAACTTTACACGATTCTCCATGTTTCTCACCGTGACGCACATATGATTAACACTGGGTTCTTTTCGCAAAAGAACGCGTCGTCTAATCTTTTGACTTCCACGATTTAATCAGTTTTGACATCACGTAAAATTTTCATAAATTTACAAAATTTTTCTCAAAATGTTGTGACTCCTTTTCTCGTGGCGTTTCGACTTATAAAATAATCACTATAAGCCACAAAAAGATTTTGACATGCAACTCATCCCGCGTCGTACACTTGCAAGCTGCTGTTTAACAAGCAAGCAAGCAAGCAAGTGTTTTTTGTTGTTTTGTTTTTTTTCTTTCGTAAAACAAACCAGTTAGTGTGTGAATCAAGACCTGTCTTACCTGTAAGTAGACTTTTCCTGAAATATCCTCTCCCCTCCTTCTTTAAACAACAGCATGGCCCTGTCGCTCTTATCCAGCAAGTTCTTGAGATGGATCCTCAAGTAGTCGGACCTCTCACCCCGCGGCACCTGACCTGCCCCTGATGTGTCCTTGGATCCTTGGTTTGACTCCCGAACCGTCTCGAGCAGTGCTGTTGTCTCGGCTAACAGGTCTGGTAGATACGGCGGGCTGTTCCTTAAAGCGAGCTGAGGGTTTGTGCACAGCTCATAGAGTCGAGCCTGTCTCTTGATGACTTTATCTATTAAACTGCATTCTCTGCTTGTAAGACACTGGTTGCTTGAGACCGCTGAACCAGCTGCTGCCATCATTTCATTTGCAAATGTAATGAGAGCCA